TGGCCCCCAACTTCTGGCTCTGTGACCTCAAGCTTGTTACCTCTCTGTAAACCCAGGACTACAAATGCTGACTCACAGGATCTGTGTAAACAATCAGGCCGGGTGCCCAGCACATGAGTGAGGATCCAAGGGGCCTGGTGGCTGCCACCCAGCTCCTGAGAGCTCAGAGAGCACCACCCACAGGAGGGGGTATTTTTATATTCAAAGGAGGAGCTCAACTCAACCTCCACGCATACCCCTAACACCTCTCCACTCAGCCCCTCCAAGGCCCGCGCCCCGCTGTGGGCTGGCTGGTGTGCCCTGCAGTTGGACCTGCCCAATTTCACATCCTCTGGTCTCAGCCTCACCCTCTCCCTTAGAGGGGATGTGAGCAGGAACGGCTCAATCAGGATATAATCATTTTTAATTAACGTGCAGATCATTTCACAGGCTGATCTCCTTGGAGACCAGAGGGAAGACAGTCTTTTAAGATTTTCTTTTGCCTTCCTCTATCCACCCTCCAAACTGAAGCCTCCCCCGCCCTTTCACCCACCCCGCACAACCTTGAAAGCAGCTTGAAAAAGCCTGCTGCCTGGGTTCCTCTGGGGCCATTAGGAGAGTGTGTGCTCACACAGTCACACAGGAACGTGCCCAAGCTTGGGGCATGCTCTCCAGAAACGCACAAATGGGAACAGAGACTCACAGACAGGGCACATTCAGACAGGGACACACACAGATTCGCACACACAGGCATGGATGCGTGCACACGTGCCAAAGCTGCAAGGCACAGAGACCCCTTAAGAAATATGCAAACAGAATCCGACACACACAAATGTGGGCACACACATGCCCAGGCTGGCAGGCACACCAACCCCCAAGAATACACAAACAGGATCAGACACAGACACACACACAAAGGCACACACAGATGTGCAGGCACCTCAGGGACACACCCAAGCACAGAGGCACATCACAGAAATGCCCAAATACCCACTCTCACACAGGACTGCTTTACACTCCACGGCTGGTGGGCATGTGGGCAGGAGGCGAACAGAAGGTCCCTTCCCTGTGATGGGAAGTCAGAGCCACAATGACCTGCCCCTACCAACACCCTGGCCCCAGCCCCCAACGCTCAGAGGCCCTGCCACCTATCCTAATGGGGAGCCCATGAACAGAGAAGTCACCAAGGTCTTGCCTCCCTGTTACCTGGGTGCACCTGGGATCTTTCTGAGGCCCGGACCCGCCCCCCCCCCAAACAGCCCTGGCAGAGCCCCTGAATATCTAACCTTTCCTGGCCATCTAACCCTGGCCCTCCCACTACCCATACAGGGAGGATGTCCCCCAACTTCTCCTCTGGGGGAGGGATTTTCTCTCTTCTTTCTTCATTTTAAATAACCTCCCCCTTCTCTTTTCTAGCCCCTTCCTTTTTCTCCATTGTCTCCCCTTCCTTTCTTTTCTCTCTCCTTTGTCTCCTCCTCTCTTCCTCTCCCTCCCCAGGGGGCCTCCTGGGGTCAATCTAAGGTCAGAGGGAGAGTTTAAGATGTAGCTGGTCCTTCCCCTCCCCCACAGGGGGTACCTGTGCAACACCTGCCCCCAACTCCTAACAGATCCAGACTTTGCTCTTTGGACAAGTAAACTGAGGCACAAGGGAGGGGCAGAACCACTGGGGTCCTCTGACCTCTGCAAGTCTCACCCCTCTCGCTGCACCTGCTTTGGATTCTTGGCTTTTCCTTCTGGAAAATGGGATGGCAAAGACGAAGGGCGAGATGTGTGTGTGTGTGGGGGGGGGGATGACAACAGGGATCGCATGGCTGGCCAATGGCAGGCTGTTAACTTGGGTGACCCCAGATCCTGTGGCCACAGCCAGCGAGTGTGACACAGAAGGGCTTGGGAGCCCATCTCAGTTGGAGGCATGCTGGGTGCTTCTCTCCACTCTGGGGTCTCAATGTTCCCATCTGTGAGGTAGACGAGGTCCGGCTACAGGAGCCCTAGGGACTCTCAGGATGCAAAACCAACATGGCAGACCAGTAGCCCATTCCTGGCGGCTGCAGGGCCCAGCAACTGTGGTGCGACCTTGGGACTCCCTCCCTTCTCTGGGCCCCTGCCCCCTCCTCTGTCAAAGGAGGAGGGTTAAACAGGTGATTCACTGCCAAGGCTCCTTTTGGGTCTGATAGAAGGCTCTAGATTGTGCTGGAAGGAAAGAGAATCATGTGCCCCTTCTCCGGGAAAAATGAGAGGCCCATTTCTTCTACTGCAGGCACATCGGAGCCTTTGGCATCAGCAGAATCATTTTTAGGAAATCATCTTAAACATCAAAAAAACCTTTCTACACAAAAATATATCCACTACCTCATTCATCAGGAGCATCCAGAATGCTGAGCAAAAGGGGAATATTAAGTAAATGATGGTACATCCACCAGATTGGAAGAGCCTGGAGACATGGTGTTTATGACGAGCTGGTTGCAAAACAGGAAAAGCCCGCTGTTAGCGTGCCAAAGGAGAAAGCAGGATACACAGCGGACGGACGGAGAATGACGACGGAGCCTTTAACAACAAGCCAACCGCCAGCCACAGGACTGCAGAGGCTGCATCAACACATCCCGCCGTCACAGCCACCGGGGCTCAGTACCCTCTTTGTTTCTTTTCATTTTTCAGATGTTCTATGAACCATATTTTAAAAAGGTCCTTTTCTTAAAAAAAAAAAAAAAAAGGCTAAACCCCTCCAATTGAGAAGCCTTCCTCATTCATTCATTCATTCATTCATTCATTCATTACTGATCCATTCACTCCTGTGTTGGTCTAGCCAAAGCCCAGGGCCCATCCTGTGCCAGGCCTCAGGGCTCTAAGATCCCCAGGGACTGGTTCTCACCAGCAGGAAACAGAAATTCGGAAATTCAGAAATTCGGGGTGGGTGGGGAAGAGAGAAGATAGCCCCTCAAATACCTACACATCAGGGGCTTGTGCCTAACCGGGGTGCTTGCTCCTGGGAGTGAGGAGAAATCAATCCTGCCCCCCTATGACCTCACCCAGCTCTGCCCTGGGCACCTAGGGTCTCACAGTCCAGCCTAAGGGTCAGAAACTCACCCTTAACCACCCAGCCTCTAGCTGTGGGTGGTGGGGGTGGGGCGGGGAATGGGGGCAAGTGCAGAAGTGCCCCCCCCCCAGTCCCTATGATTCCACTTCCAGTTCCTGTGGACCTGCCAGGTCAACTAACCCTTTTTCAAAGCCTCAGGGCCACAGGGGGCCCCTGACGGCAACACCCTCTCTGGCTCTTATTTCAGGCTCCACCCGCCAGGTCCTGCTCTCGGCAGCGCCAGGCGTCTGCTAGCTCCCTCCCTGCTAGCAAGTCAAAGGGTCCTGCTCCCCCGTTCCTGCCATGTGCGGCGAGAGAGCTGGGGAACCCTCTCTATTCCTGGACCAAGCCAGATAACTTACCCCCCCCCCCGTCAAAAATTTAAAAAAGGAGCAAACGGATCTCAGAGCTTTGAGTGCCCAGAAACCTCTGACCTCGTGGCCCCCACTCTGAGTTGAGCCCCTCTCAGGATTGCAATCCCCAGAAATTCTCTGGGCTAGCACTCCCTTCCCAAGGCCCCAGTGAGAAAAGAAGTTCCCACCACTCCCCTCCCCCTCTTCTCTCCCACCCCCAGACCCTGGGGGAGGGGATGAGGTGCCCGAATCGCCGGTCACCAGGGCAGCATCTGCTGTGGATCGCAAGAAACACACACACACACACACACACACACACACACACACACACCCCCTCAGGATCCCCTCTGAAGCCTGCATTGTACGGGAGGGGAGGAGGCCCAGTTGGAGGGAGGAGGCTGAGGTTGGGGAGGCCCCTCGACGACGATCCTGAAGTCACCAATCAGCAAGCCCAAGAATCCACCGCCCGGGGCCAGAACCCAGGCCTCGGCCTTCCCTGCAGCTCACCTGCCCTCGCCCCCACCCCTCCAGGCCCCAT